AGTAAAGTTATATGTAAATAAACTCCCATAGTCTAAAATGGTTTTTAAAAATACTTCTAACAACTGCATTGTACAAGAACTAATAAGAGTGTAGGGTGAACTTGAATTGTTTTTAAAACGTTGACATAAAACACTTGACGCAGTATACACACCAAAAGGCTTTTGGCTAAACAAACTGCTTTCAAGAGTTTTTTTTTTTTTTAAACTCGAGAATCGAGATAGTCAACATAATACAAGTATTGTCAAATTTAACGAGAAGAGGGTAAAAAAACGCAAACAATACGATGTTAAATAATAATAAAAAAAAATGGCATTATTCTTAAAATAATATAATGCAATTTTTTTTATTTATTTATTTTAAGGAGCTCTAGTGCCAACTACTGCTATAACCAGATACATTTCATGACTTTGCATATCGATTCATTTTACTCAGAAAACGTTTTAGATAAGATATCAATCAGATTAAAATAACCATTTTAGTACCTTACACAGTTTTATTTTTCATATTTCTGATTATAAATGAGTACAATTAATTTTTTATTATAGAATAATTTACAGTGATGCAATTCTATAGAATTCGTTATATAAACACAACATTATAAACACATAAATATTGATAATTTATGTATAATAGTTATATTATATATATATATGTATGTATTATTTATCCATACTGCAGGTACATGGCATAACCATAATTTAGTATTTTAGTTTGAGCTTTATAACATATAAGTTATAAATTATAATTTCATTTATAATGCTGTATTGTAACTAATAATTATTTTTAAGTTATTCTAAATAAATTTTATTTTATCTAAATATTTATAATGCTTAAAAAACGTATTACAATACAATATTCATATAATTTTTTTTTTAAACTTTTTTCACAGAATTTTTGTTTTTTATTTGTAAAATGTATACAGTATCTAGTTTATTAGAACATAATAAATATATATTGTACATTGTATGCATTAAATATAAAAAATAGCCAACGATAAAACACGACAAAATAAAATAATACTATTCTTGTAATTAGACAAACTTAGGGTAGTGAATTGAATGCCTTTACATGTTAGTTTTTTTAGACTGTATAAATAATTTAATTTTGTTTACGTATTACTGCTAGCCTATAGCAAAATTCTGTTTTGTTAATTTTTCATACTTTAATAGTTATACTTACGATTTACCAACAAAATTGGCAAGACTTATTTACTTTATTTATTATACATTTTAATTTAAGTGTAATTAGGTTTCAAAAAAGAAAAAAACTATCTCAATTTAAGTTTGCCCCTTTTTTGCATAATTTGTCATGTTTTTTTAATAGGTTTTTTTAGAGCACTGAATCTGGGCGTAGGTTATGTGATTCGTACTTATTTAGTGTATTATGCTATTATCGAAACGTCATCACAAACATATTATAATCCACATCGGATGATGACCATGTTGACGAGAAGACATTTCTAATTCTGTTTAATATATACGTGCATATTATCCATAATGTACGTATATGAGTTATAAATTATAACTATAATTAACGTGAACTCGTATATAATATAAATGCGGTACACGTGTTACCCGGATATAGGGTGCCCCGCCAGCGTTAAAACTTTTTTAAACCAAGAGAGCAGTGCTCGGAACTCCATCTGCGGCGGCAGTCGTTACCCCGCTGCCTCAAACATCCCGTCCCGGATAATCTTAAAAAGCCCCAACACTACACTTATATAGGCTGCACGTGTACTCCCGCGGTATCCTTCAGTATATAATATTATATACCATCATATTATAATATATTACAATACGTTAATGTGTTTTAAATTAATGTTTATTGTTATAAATTGTATACAATATACTGTATGCGGTGGTTGTCGAGTGGCGGTAAATAATGAGTATACAAACTGTAATAAACCATATTATGCATCGTTGAAGTAATATATTACTATACGTAATCGTGTAATTACTCGATTTCGGTTCTATGGTTTTTCTAAAACAATTTTATGGTCACAAAAATCATTTGAATTTTTAATTTTTTTATAAAATGTAATAGTGTGTCATGAATCATGATGGTTTCAATCTTAAACATATAGGGATTGGTAACGGTAAGTATGGTATAGGTTAGGTACGTAATTATATATTCAGACCACATCGTGATTATATTAACGTATAAGACACACCATACACATTAATACATTATTTTTAAAATATTTTTTTTCCAGTCATTACAAAACATCATTTTTGAAAGGTAAAAATTATATTTTACTCTTTCATACCGTTGAAATTCCTTTTTTTAACGACAACATATCACATTTTTATTTCATATTCCTAAGCAGCAAATTTTTCAGGATATTTTTATGAATACAAGTGTTGGTAAACTACGATTCCACTTATATTTCAAACTATAAAATCGTTTTAAATTTGATTTTTATTACGTACTTATCAAAATTCTCTGAATATTATTCTGTTCCGGAAAATGATGTTAAAAATGTACATTTTTGTCATTCAAATAAGTAATAAGTAAAAGCTTTAAAAATAATAACGATAAAAAACCTAGTACTAAAAATGTATAATTTTTTTCTTCAAAAATGTTGTCTTATTCTGATTTCTGATATAGTATAAAAAAATATTTTCAAAAACGTTAACATAGTTTTCATAATGATGAGTATCTTGCGTTAAAAAAAAATCGTCACATCTAAACATGTACGTATATATATATATATATATATAGCATTATAGCCACAAATAGATGTACCACGGTACCTATAACATACCGGAGGTAGGTATTGTGATAGTCGCGAGAACCCAACTGATATACGATCGACCACGGGTTCCTGCACCTGGATTATTATATCCTGCAGCAGCGTGCGGTTACCTATATATTTGTTTACGCCCACAGTCATATAATCTTCCTGCACCGAATGAGATTTATGAGATCTACGAACGATTAATTTTTAATAATTATTATACACGAACGTAATATTATATAAACGGACGTATAGGTTAGGTCCAGGTGCAGCAGCAGTGCACAGGCAGCCCTGCCCGTCTGCGCATGCACAGATTAAATCTACAACGGGGTGGAATCATGACGCAAATAGACACAAACCAAACGAACCAGACAAATCCGAGGAAATAATTTACTTAAAGAGGTACAACCAGAGAAACAAAAAAAAAAAAAATAATGGTGCTTTTCAAAGTGTGTCTATGTACAGTATATTTAATTCGGCTGTTATATGTAATGCGTACGGTGTATAATACGTTGTCGACCTGTTGTAAGCGCTACTTTTAAAACGATTCTTTTAGTCACATTTATTTATTTTTGTAAATCATCGGAACTCAATGCGTGTATGCGTTCGGGTGAAGAAATTGTTACGGTTGGACGAGGGGAAGACGTTAAAATTATGTCTCATCCGTCTGCGGGATCTATTGGGGTGTCTTGCCGCCACCCTCATCTCAGAGTCTCAGACGTAAGTTATAATAATGATGTCAATAATAATAATAATAATAATAATGATATGCATATTGTGCATACATAGGTATATGATACGGTGCAGTGTACACTGTACGAGATAGTATATTACGCGGGTAACGACGACTTATATTATTTTTTACGACGGCGTCGCGTTTCCCTCGCGCGCCCGTGATTCACCGACGGACCGATAGACACCGAACACGAAAACACGTGTCATGAATTATTATAACAAAAATATACAGTTTAGTAGCGTTGTGCGTACATTGTGTTGTTACCCGCACAGCGTCTCGCACGTCGATTGTGCAGTAAATTTAAATTATAATCGTACATTATATTATTATTGTGCAGGTATTTGTACATTTGTATTTGTATATACGACCGATGGCGTTGTTGCGAAACGACCGATTTGTAGTCGTTGTGCGGTCATTGTAGGGCCGATCTATTACTACGCACCGCGTTTGCCCTAAATACCTACGGCCTAAACAAATCGCCGCCCCACTCCTCGAACAGCCGTCTGTACGAATTGTCGGCTGTGCCGATTTTAATACAACACAATCGCGTCGAATCGTAGGTAAACTAAAAATTCGGTAGAACTTTTAAAATGTAACTTTTACGGGTCTACCGAATTTATACGGGATAGGTAACTTCGTCAGAATACGCGTATAGCATAGCGACAAATACACCTTAAACTCTAATCTAAATTTGTATAAACGACACTGGCTAAGATATTGTGAAATTGTGTTCGTATGTGTAAGCAGCATAAACTATATTGAGCAATATTTTATGCACTTATACATTTTGTTATAATATAATGATTATGCCATATTGCAGTGAATTGTTCCTAGACTGCAAGAAAACGATTATCCATAACATTTTGTGATCCAAAATAAATGTAATTTGCAGAGACCATCGAGCACAAAACCGGCGTGATGTTAATTATATACAATAATATTTTTTATTCGATGATCGTGTGGACAAAATTACGAAAACCTTTTGTATACTCGTCGTGACTTGTGCTCACAGGTTAAACCATAGTAAGGTACCGACGAAAAATCCTATAGAAATTGTTTAAATTATTATCGATTACACGCGGCTCGGTATGACCGTATATCCGTAACCCACCACCCTGCACATCCACACCCACATGATCAAGAGTTTAGTTATTATTTTTGTTTGCACAACTGCAATGTTCACTGCACCTACGGCGAACAGTAAAATAATAATAATAATAACAACAACAACAACAATAACGGACGATGCCGATGAAAACGAAAACGGCGAAAAGGTGAACGGATATCGCGACCCGACGACGTCTTGAAATGCGTCACATCTTTAGTGGCCGTCGCATAATATAATATAATATTATTGTAATGAGCAGTGACCGATCTCGCTGCGGCGGTGAACGCTATAATTCTCGACGATGACCGCGGCGCGCGAAAACGTAAATCGAAAACGCATCGTAGCAGTACTGTTGTAGAAGTAGTAATAGTAGTAGTAGTAGTAGTAGTATAGTAGTAGTAGTATAGTAGTAGTAGTAATAGTATTGTCGTGCAGTATTTATTAGTACAGTACCGCGGGCCGCGAAACGGTTACAGCGCGGCGGCCGTGGTGTCTGACGTTGCGCAGAGCGCGCGTCGGTCGTCGATTTCCCGCGCAAAACTGGTCGGGGTAACACTGTGCGCCGGCCGCCCGCCCCACCGGTCCGCCTACCGGCAACGAACGACACAGTCGAGCGCGCGCGCGACCGTTATCCAACCGACCGAATTTCAAATTCAAAATCGTCAACGAACGTCGAGCAGCAGCCGCCGTCTCGCCGTCGTCTTCCGCGCGAAAACCGAACAGTTTAATTATTTTTTTTCACCTTCCGAAAAATTATTTTTAAACCGTCGTTTTTTGCCGCCACCATCCACCAACCGGCCCACGCCGGCACACGAAACATCCAAATTCGCGGTGATCGTCGAGCGACCGTCTTTCGTCGTCGTCTAACGGGGCGCGGGCAAGCAACAAGCCACCAGCACTTCGACAGTCAGCCATGGTGTTGTCGGACGTCAACGGAAACGGTAAGAAGTCGGCGGCCGAACGGTGGCTGAGACAGCGGAACGGGCAGCGGGCGTCGGCTGTCCGGTGCATATTCGGGCCGCCCGAGAAACGGGCCCATCTCATGGTGATCATGCGCAACGAGGCAGAAATGGAACGGAAGCGGATCGAGTTCGCGGCCAGGTACGAGCCGGTGGGCATGTCGCCCAACGAGCGGCGCAACTTTTTCGCGGGACTCATGAAATCGCCGCCCACTTCGTCGCACCATCATTACAGCAACGGTGAGTAGACATGAGTTAGGCACTTAAGCGCTGCGACCGTTGGCGCGAAAATATGGCAGCCTCCCGCGATCCGAGCTATAGACTTCGTGGTGTTGGCATATTATTATCGTAGCTTGCGATGAGTTGCGGGCGCGTCGGCGGCCGTTATTTTCCGTTCGTTCGGACGGGCGGCCAAACGCGCGGGAAAAATCTGGTCGCGCCCGACTCGACCGCGACGACCGGCCGACGATTATTTTAATGCATTCGACAATAAGTCAAATTATTTACCGTGATGAACGACTTTTGTGGCGATCGAAAATTTTTAATATATTTTGCTCGTGATTCGCCTACCTATCCACATTTCGTACCCGGCCGATCGATCGATTGATTTCGGTCGCGTTTACTGTTAAGACGGGAACGAAATAATTATTATGTAATCATCGTTGACCGGCCGCTGCGAATAACGTAACGTTTTTGACAAACAAAAATCGGAGCGTTTATGAAAAGTAATACAATTATTTATCGTCGTTCGGCCGCGCCGAACACGTGCTCTCTTGGTCCCCACACACCTGTTGCTTCATATCGATCTTGTCCCTTCGAAAACCGTTTTGGGTTCACGTCTTCCGTGTCGGGAAAACCGATGGTGGTTTGTTCTTGTGCACAGGTGGTATGTGTGTGTATGTGAATGTGATCCAAAGGCCTCGGCTTGACGGCGTCTCGCTATAACTGCGAGGTTAGGTGTCGTCGTATTACGTAAGCGGTAAACACAAGTATCGCGGCGTTCGAGGTTAATGTTATTTTTATTGTTAATATTAGGTATTTTACTAAATAAACAAGAGTGTTCCTACCGATTATATGTTTATAAGCGAGTGTGTGTGTGAGAGCGTGCGCGCCCGATAGGTGAACTTTTGACGACATTATAATGGCGATAACCACAAATAATAAAAATTATAGATAAATCACACTCACAAGGCGCGTTATGCCTTGTGTATGGTTGAAGTTGGAAACGACAGGTCGGAAAAAAAAATTGTAAAAATGGAGGGAGATTGCGGTCGTGCGCGGCCGAACGAACCACGGGCGACGGGCGTCGGCCCCGAGGCAGGTCCGCGTGCAGCGGTGGTAGCGTGTGTAAGGCGTACGCACGTATTTTGCCGCCAAAACCTCTACGGTAGTCGCCCGCCACATCTGCCCTGCTCGGTAATCCGACATGATAATATATTATATTATAAATTATACATGTTGTATACGATACGGTCTCCGTCCGGATCGAAGTAAAAAAAAAAATCCTTTTTTTTATGATTTTAGGTTAGGTATAATAATGGTTGTGAGAGTGTGTGTGTCGGTAGGTCGGCGTCGATATGGTTGTTGTGGGGTGCGGCGGGGGCGAGGGTCGGTTGAAATTTTAAAATGCACGAGACGTGCGCCGCGCGTACAACGACGATCGATATATACGACCGGTATAATAACGCGCGTTTTTCATTCTTCGCGCTCGACCGAAATCGAACGTGACACTTTTGAAAACCGGTATTTTTTTCGAAAAAACGTACGGCGACGAGACGACGTGTCATCGTGTCCGTAAACGGACGGCGGGAGTTTTTTCTCTCCTAAAACTATCGCGTACACATACAAATATACAATATTATACATGCGGTCGTTACTTTTATCGTACACCCGGATAAACTCCTCGTGCCGGGGTCGCCGGAATAACATTAAAAAGCACGCACACTCGTAATATATAACTCGTCCCCGCGGTGCACGTGTGTTGGTTTTTTGAAAAAAAAAAAAAAACCGAACAACTTGTACGGCGATCGCAGTGAGATTCAAGGCCTCCGTCAGTGGTGGCGGCGGTGGTGGTGAATGGCGATGATGATGATATTATTATTATGCGATGTATACGTGCGCGAAAGCGAAAGAAACGTTTTACGCGGTGACAAAAAATTGGCGGGAAACGTGTCCGTAGCACGCGCTCCGCAAAAAAAACCGAATGCGAATAATAATATAACGACGACGTTTAGTGGAAAAAAAAGCGTCGTCGGCGGACGACGAAAGGGGAAAACTGTTTGGGTAAAAAATGACATACAAAACGGGTTTTGGACGGCGCGCGGCCAAAAAACACTAATCGGCCGAGCGGCGTGTCCCTGTCGCGTCGCCGATATCACACGCGGCCGCGCGCGGAGAATGTCTCCGCCAAGGCCGTTTAATAATGCTCCGGCGACTCGGCAGCTACCGTTTCGTCGGTGTGCGCGCGCGCTCGTAAATATAAATTGGGCGGGAAAAAAGCGACGTACGCTAGAATATTATTATTATTATTATTATTATTATGATGTTTTATGATCGGTCGTCGTCGCGTACACCTCTCTACGCGATCGACGCAGCCCGTAATAACGCGTATTATTATTATTACTATTATTGTCGACGAGTTTTTTCCTACCTGCCTCCGACCTACGCCTCCCCCACCGTGTCCCGCGCGCACCATCTCATCTAGATTAGAGTGAAAGAGTGTCTTGTGGAGTGAGAGAGAAGGAGGGAGTGCTCGCGCGCGCGTATAATGTTTGAATTATCGTTTTTTTTTTTTTACGAATTTCGGTTTTTTTTTTCATTCTGTTCGACGAGATAAAAAATAATGAAAAAAAAAACGTTGTCGACCGGTTTACGTTTCGTGGAAAACGAAAATAATATAAAATATTATTACATTAATATGCGCTCTTACCGATGTGTGCATACAAATAATAATTATATGAACATTACGACGACTGTGACGGTGTGACGAAACCAACTGTTGGATTTCAACCCAATCGAAAAACTCGATCCGCGGCGGATTTCCTCGTATCGCTCGCGACTGCCATTACAATAATAATCGTACAAATAAAAAATTGAATATCATATTATTATAATTATTATTATATTTTATCAAGTGATACTGTTATCGAGCAGTTTTCTCTCTTCTCTTCGGTACACGACGCGATGTGTTGCAACGCACACGCGATAACATTTTTTTTATTATTCCGTTTGCGCGTCGTCGTCGTTATCTACAGCAGCCGCGGCCGTTCTCTGCCGATTATTATTATTTATTACGTCTAATACATGTATTATATGCTTTTGACATGTATTATAATACATTAAATGTTAATATTAATTATGATTGTGTTATAGTTATATCGTGTACAATTTTTTTACACGACGATAAGTTTTTTATTCTGGTTGTAACACGTCGTCGTTTTCCAGATAAACAATCCGATTTGGGTTCTCGGAATCGGATGGACGACGACGACCTATCGGTCTGTTGTGTATTATTGTTACATTTTTTTTTATCATAGACAAAATAATAATTGGTCGTTTAACCTTGAAAAACAATAATACAACATAATGGCCTGTTTTGAACCGCGGTCTTTGTAGCTTGTTCTAGAAAACGTTCGTTTCCGCGCTCCGCCGTCCTCTCGCCTATATTATAATATTTTGTCAACGCGCACACCATTTATAAAACATTAAAATTTCGACCGACCGACCGTCGTCACGACTCGTGAGTACGTAATATGTATATTTATATAGTTTTCGCTTCGCACTCTTTCTCTACGGCCATTTGATATTATCATTCCGATTTCAGACACACCGAATTTCCATATTTTATTTCTCGACATAATTACACCACGTCGTCGTAATTACACGCACAATTTGTCCGACTCGCGGGGCAGAAATCTAAATGGACGTTGTACGACGCGTATTATAATACGTATAATAAATTAAATAAATATTCTTATCGGCGTGTGTCGCAATCGATATTGTCGATAATCGTTCGCAATCCGTAGTACAGCTATAGTACTATAGTAGTATTATATTATAATAATATAATGCGCATCCAACAAAAGAAGTAGGATACAAGGAAACCGGCCGGCGGACCAGATTGCCGAATATTATTCGTTTCGATGGATTTCTTTTGTCTTCGCATACAATCGCATTTGAACAGTTATCGCGGTGTCTTCTCTTATTGGCCGGGCAAAACAAGAAAAAAATAGACAAAAGGTTATAACCGTCACAAAGGTCTAGGTCACAGATAAACGTTTTGTTGTTGCGCCTATGCCGATGCTGCCTAACCGCTCTGTTTCCTCTCTTCTGATTTTGTAGGTATATATCATTTATAGCCCCTAATCCATTGGGTGTAATATAATATATCATGCTAATGTACAATGTACATATTAATATAATATCATATTTTTTATATAATGTACTATTGACAAGACCTTGCGTAAAACTTGATGCGATCGTAGAGAGAAAAATCGATCGTATACCAGATCTTGAGAGGGTTTGTGTTGAGGGGGAGGGTAGCAGTGAGACTATTTTATTTTAAGTGTCCCGCGCCGGAGAGACGTACCACGTCTGCGAATAGATCTATTTATCCATCCCCGATAACGCGTTTCAGAAACACAATAGCGAAATGCCCGTCTCTCCCTATACACTGTAACCAACAGCAGTATTATATACAAGTGCAGTGTGTGTGTGTGTGTGTTAGATAAGACATACACACACATGCATATAACCTGTTGCCATGGAGGACAAAAGATTAAAAAAATAATAATAAATAAGTAAACATCCATATCCTTCTCACAAGGATTTAGTTGGAGAAAAAAATTTGCAGATGGTGAACGCGTACACACATACACACCGTACAACAGGTGGTTAATTTGCAGTCGAGCAGCTGCTGCTGCCGCGGAGGACGTTAAGAACGAGTAGATTTTTTTTCTCGCCCACCGTTTCTTTTCCGTCGTATGTTACGCGTGCACTGCACAATATATATAACATGATATATTATATACAGCGTGTGTGTTTCCTGCGTTTGCGGATGTGCTCACCGCAGAACACGCGTCATTAGGATTAGGTCATCTCCGCGATTCTTGGTACAATGCACAGTGTACACGCGTATAATTTTTTTCGTATTTCCGTTTAGTCATATTTTTGAAAACCCGCGTCCGTTTGGTTTCGTATAATCTAAGATTATACGTGTATAAAATAGCGAAACCATATAATTTTCTACGCAAATCTAATGCAATAAATATGAAAATATAATACATAACGAAGGTTATACTTTTCTGATGGTCCCCATATATTTTCTGAAACTGCCGAGGCGTCTTGCAGGGGTTGTGTTTAAGTGTTTAAGTCTTCGGACTTGTTTAATAAAACTGTCTCTCCTCCATGCTTCTCCTGTTGTTAATAGTATTTTAACTGGTTATTTCCTATCCGGTCCGTAGTCAGTTCTTCACAGTCCGCAGCAAGTCAATTGCAACTGGCTGGGGATCTTGGTCCTTTGTGAACTCAGCCGCGTCATATTATTTGGTTCCTTTTTATTAGATGAGTTGGAACTATCGATTTTGCTAGTTTTTGCGGTACATGTCTTCTTTAGGTTTGAACGCGCTAGATCTCAACCACATACCTAAACCAATAACTATTTCAAAAACTATTAACAACTAACTGTTTTTGAAATATTTTTCTTACATAATTTATTGTAGTGAACAGTAAATTTTTCTAAAAAAAAGCATAGTTTACCATTTCACATCATCAATATTTCTTAAACAACAATATGCAATTTTATTCACTTATTTGAATCCAGAATATTTTTCCTTAGTTATTTGGTGGTTTACTGTATGAGATCAAATTTTGGAATAGTGGAATGGAGCTGTGTAGTGTAACCTACCCGGAAAAATGTTGGTGCATGGGCTACTCTCGCATTACAACTTTGTATACTATAAATTATTGTTACTTACTTATAACAAATAAACTACTCGTCTAAAATGTGTATTTATGTAAATCGAAATACTTAAAATAATATTCTGTTTCGGAGTATGAAATTAAAATGTGGATACGTCGTATTCAACAGAGTAAAAACTTGAAAAATATAATTTTTTTTGTAATGACTTAAAATAAAATTATGTTAAAGTAGTACTTTCAAAAACGTTAGTGTTTTCTGAAATAATGAGTGTCTTACGTTAAATTGATTTCCGTATACAAATTGTTGTACCTAACACTTGTAATACTGAGAAAATGACATATATGGAGGGGTGATTAAGTCACCGTTTACCTGCTGCGTAATAATGTTTTTAAGTGTCAACTTTATATGTATATAATTATAGGTCGTTTTTGACGATTGTAAAATTATGGATAAAATAATATTATAGTAGGTATATATTGATACAATTCCGATGAATAATTTATAGTTTCGTATATTTAAGTTGACTTAATGTCTCGGGTTCTATATAACTAACCTAACTGTACTATGCACCTATATACCGATGTTACATATACTGCAAGTGTTGTTTCATTGTTAAAATTTAACATTCAAAGTACCTATATCGGTTCCGATAAAGGTTTTTTCCATACGAGTCGTACCTACACACAATTTAAACATGAACGTGTTTAATTTTTTTAATAATTTCTTTAGACATCAAAAGTTTCATTTCCCTGCAATAAACATTTTATATATAAATATTTTATTAACCGTGACCGTAAATAGTAAGCTTATGGTAAATTAGGACAGATAAATTTTTTTATGAGGATCTGTCACTCAATAGATACATTTACGTTAGTTTTTTCCTAAACTTTTTTAATGTAATATAATAATAATAATAATAATAGCGTGTAAATAGGTAATTATGTTTTTTCTCTACCATTAGTATTATAGCATCGAACTAAATGTCATCTATAATACCACTTGACGCCGTTGCGTTATGTATACAGTATATTATTTTTAATGTATTTAAAAAAAAAAATTTAGAACGTTCAAAACGTCAACAAGCCGAGCGCATCGTAGTAACAATAACTTGTGTAACAAGTAACAACATATCACGCACATTTTTTCCTCTCCATATTATCCTTATACGTAAATACTATTATTATTATTATATACGCATTATTATAATAATGTTGTACAATTGTAATAACTTCTTATCGAAAAAGAGCAGAGAGATAAACCAATATATGCATAAGCACACGCGCATATATAATAACTTAATAACTTAATAATAATAATAATAGTATAATGTACGCATCAAAGGAGAAAAAAATTATTCCCTGCATAAAACTATATCATAATATTATATTATTATCGACAGGCTATGGCAAAACGTCCCAAAGTCCAATGTGCTCGACATTATTCCAATAACGGAGAATCGCCGTATAAATTTGTTTGGACGTTTAGAAAACTAGCCAGTGTGTATAGGTGCACTACAAATCTCGTAATGTCAAGGTTTAAGCCGTCGAAAATGATCGCTCGTGCGCTTTACAATAAACCAGCAACGTGCTCGAGCGCGCAAACCGCCAATTCTGTGGTGGTATATCAATGATTCCGCCGGCGTTTTACTTTAACGTCGTGATTTACAGTACCCAACGAATGAAACAAAGCCGCGATTAATAATCATAATAATAATGCGATAAACTACTATTTTAGGCCGGCGAATGTCTCACTAACCATCGTGTCATCCGTGCGGTGATGTATACTATTATCATTGTTATATTTTGCTATATTATTATTATTATTATTACGACCGTCGTGAATTGTGTTCTGAATTACTACAAAAATTATTGATAAATATCAATAATAAATGTTTTTTTTTTCAACAGTTACTCATTAGTCATTACACTACGTATTGTGTCATAAACTATAATAATATACATCTCGACTGAAACATCGATGACTTTTAAACTCTAAATCTCCGTCATCCGCTGTTGTAGTTAATCGTTATTAAAAAATATAACGGGGCCATAAATTTGGATGCGGCAAACGGGCACATATTATTTATTCTATTTTATTTATCTTCCGTGTTTATTAGGCGATTAAATTTAACCGTGACGCCGCCCCGCTATTGTTCAACCAGATTTCGGCGGTCTCTCTCGTTGTTACAGAGTAAAGTCCAAAAATCATCGTGTCGTGCGCGTGTTTATCATTCGCAAATAACATTAAAATCTCGTTTCCTATTAATAATAATGATTGCAAAACTGGGTCGGGTTGATTGTCATCTGCGATATTTGGCATTGATTATAATACCAATCCGGAAATTACAAACGCCGAGGAAAAACCAAATTCTTCGCAAACGTAGTATACGTTGTTCAGTAAATTATTTAATTGTTCAACGACGAATCGGCCGCAATTCGACCGGTGCTCCGTTGTGTAAATAATTGCTCTAATTTATTTAATCGGTTGAAATTATTCACCAAAGAGTAAAGCGTGCATATTTAGTACTTTGTTTTTAATCCAAAATGGCCGTTATAACTTAATTACTGGTTCAATTTTATTTGAAAAGACAAACCCTATGTTTGTAGAAAGTTCTACAAAAATATCATTTTATAGCAAAATGGTAGCTTGTACATTCCACTTCTCGCGCACATATGAAGCGTTCCCAAAGCGAATGTATAAAATTAAAAAAATGTGTTCTCAAATGTTGTGTGATTTTTGATTTCAGAACATAATTCAAAAAATTCGAAAGCCGATAGCCGCAACCACTACTTCCAACAACAGCAGCAGCAGCAGCAACAACACCACCATTACTATCACCAGCAGCAGCAAAAGCAGCAGAAGAACAATAGTTTCAACCAACCATCCGACGACGAAAGAAATTGACTAAGAAATTGACCGACTATTGTGCGGGAAGGGGGGGTGTATCATAAATCGTGATCGATATTATATATAGTGTTACATTGTACCTAAATCGCAACGATCTCTCTAACCCCACACTCGTACAACTTTATAGAAAAGACCACTTGTCCATTTCCTTCTACGTCTGTCTACGTCACGAATCGTCTCATTTGTTGCACGAAATCCGCGCGTAATTTAGGTTTTTGGGTGTATAATCGGGTTATTAATAATATTATATAATTTAAAGTGTATTCATTTTTTATTTCATTTTCGTTCTGTTCAAAGTGTTCGTGGCACATGGTTGTTTCGCGTTTGCCAACGACTACTTTGTACCTATTTATATTTTACTACCTATAATAATATTGTTAGACTTCTAGAAATTCGACGCGTGCTACAACGGGTCCATAACGTAATTCGTTGTAACGGTACGCATCATATTATTTTTATTACATTATATTATATTATGTTGGGTTGTTGTCCGAGTTTTGCACCTACACTACTATACATAATATTGTGATACTCGAATGTGCATGTTAAATAAATATTATGTTATACTAATATGAGAACAAAAAATAGAGGGAAAGCATTCGGCAAATGAATATTTTTACAACTTTACAGTCGTTCCGAGTAGTGTGTGCGCGTAACAACGTGCGTAATAATTATATTCACTCCCTGCATCTGCTCGAACTCAGATAGAAGAGGTCAATAAAACTATAACAAACAACTCGGTTCAGCTATAGAATCGAATAATAATCGTAAAATCATTTAATTTTATTACGCGTTGTACTCTTTTTTTTTTGTTTTTATCTCGTCTTCGCTTACTGTCATCGCTAGACAAAAAACGCTGAGATTTTACATATATATTTTTAATTTATATATTTTTTTTTTTTAAAACAAATTTACTCCCTTCTCTCTCCTCTCTTTTAAAATGTATTCATCACCAGATACTCAATTGCAGCTATATATGACTATATATATATATTAGCTGTTAAAGAAATATTATATGCAATATAAATGCTAGTCCAATTTGTTACGGTGAGAAAAAAATATTTATGCGTTATTAAAGTAATGTATATTATATATATACATTAATGAGATTATTATATATTTATTTACAAATATTATTATTATTATTTAATTATTATATATATTTTTTTTTTTTTCTAATCGATAAATTCACGATTTTAATATGCATATATTTATATAGATACTATTATTATTTTGTATGGTTATGTGCTAGGTATATTAATATAATATGCAGCCATATAGACATTTTTTATTAGACATGAACACTGATTTTTATTTGCCACCGCAATAACTATTATTATTATTTTAATTTTGACTATTTTATTTATTTAAATTATTATTAAAATTTAGACCGACATTATGTTTAGTTCGTAAGTAGTATATAATCATAGAAAGTAGTATGTAGAAAAAGAATATATCACGCGGAAAGTGTCATTGAGATTTATATTATTTTATTATATTACATACGTTGGTGTTTGACGACAAAATATATTAACAACTTTTTTTTTGTGTTTTTAATCTTTTGTTTTATTTGTATGACATTATCACAGTCCATATTCTTACAATTTGCTTTGCGGTACTCTGGCGGCGTTGAAGTTTCCCTATAGAGAGTGTTTTTCCCGCCAAAAGCTGATCGCCGTCGTTTTTTTTCCGGACCGTGGGACTCGCAAGTCGCGCTTGTCGAGAAGATTAAACATTTTATTTAAAAAAAGTGTATGCACGTGGGTACGCGTGTGGTTAACTGTGGGTCGGATGCGTTTTCGCGAGCATATAGCGGCTCTCAGGAAGAAAAATAAGAAGCAGCAGAGGGTACGCGGCGCGCGAGGCTCATCGCTCAAACGTGTGTGTACACAAAAGAAAAAACACCTTCACGCCCGTATTTTATATATATTTTTTTTTCCTTACGCCGGAGGAGGAAGTGCGGCCGCGGCGTGTATATACGCTAGGTGTATACAATATAATACACGTGCAGTGCACGTTTGTGAAAATATATAATAATAAAATGTATATAAGTTAAAGAAGAAGTATATATAAACCGACTACAATGGGTCGCCTTCTCCTTCCGTGTGTGCATTCGGGGAGATGACAAAACACATGACGTCCGCATCCGGTCGTACGCGCGCGCCCGTTATATATGACGTGTGTGTGTGTGTGTGTGCGTAATATACGTCAGCCGTTGACGGTAAGTCACACGGTGTGTGTGTGTGTGTGTGCGTGTGTGTGTGTGTTTAAGGTATATAGGCCGGGCGCGCGTATCCGGTTTTGCGGTCTGCGGTGACATCGTCGTCTTCTCGACCGTACGACGTCCGCCGCGAAATAAATCTCTTCGCCGTCGCGTCCCATTAATTATAATCAAAAAATAATAATATCACTGGGGTTCCCCTAGTGTACGTCGTCGCACACACGTGTGGTGCCCACTCCTCCCGGTGTGCGTTTCGGTCGCTGCGAATAGTATTATATATTTAGGGCGCGACTTAAAATATTATATCGTGTCTGTACACCGTATGTACGTCATACGTGCATCCGACGATGTGTCGTCTGTGATGTCATGCGTAGGTAAATCTTTACTTCTGGACGGTCTTGTATTTAATGTTGTTGTAATTTGTAGCCGTGGGCCGTGGCATAAAAAGGGTTCGCGACCTTTGCCGACACACGGCCAGCTATGGAAAAACATCCTTGTTTGCCCATAATATTATAGAACATAGATACTTTGAACGGTAGCAATCATAATAGAATATGCGATTATTAATGTATTGCATAGCCTTTTTAGTATATTATATCCAATCATCCTATATTGGAAATCAAAATCTTAAAAATCAAAACCGGTAAAAGGCGTTATTTGTGTTTCCGATATAGTAGAATAATTATGCAACATAAAGTTTAAATTCAAATGTGTGTATTTATAGTCAATCTGTTTAATGTGATAGTACGGGAGAAACTTCAATAAAAGTTGTTTTCACCTTAACAGTATACTGTGACCGCGTGCCTCCGAATGAATATAGTAGGTATATTACACCATATTTCACTTCAACATCTCAGTACAGTACATGAAAAAAGGACTGTATCGCCACTTACGCTTTATATAAGAAAATACTAACATTGTAAATATTTTTGATATTGATTGTTTGTTTAAATTAACATACTTATATTTAAATTGAATACCTCAATAGTACATTAAGTACATTCAACTATTGTAAATTTGGATAAGTACCCATATTATGATTATCTCCATTTGTTTCACAATCGTCTGATAGAAAAAAACAAATTAACTGCCGTGTTTGATATTGCGTTGTTTAATAAATTACTTAACACAAATTGGGAGCATACAGTCACGTGATTACGACGTCTGCTGCAGGTATAGTATTTAGTGATAGGTTCACATCAACCGTGGTATTTGTAAGACCGGAGGAGAGTATGGTTTTACTTGATCTGTGCGCATATATTCTATGTAGACATTCTGGCGTCTACCGAGCATAATCCTCGTCACCGTGACGCGGCACCTGTGTCTTTTGTCCTGCCGAATACGTCCCTTTACCGTGACCGGACAACACACGACTGCCATTGTACTAGACTCCTCAAAGTCTACTTACGACGCAATTATAAAGTATTCTGACAGGATCTTACAAATTTATATTATCCACACATTATACCAATATTTATTTTTATTTTATGACAGAACGGGTTATGGCCCTGAGTACAGATAGCTACGTATTCGGCATACCTATACGTATTGAAGATTTTAAATAGGTATACTGCACACACATATTTAAGCCGAAAAAATGCAAATATTACACAGAAATAAACAATACTCATTATTTATTATTCATTAATTAATATAAACGATGGGTCCTTGTTCGATTCTGTAAATTGTAGATCTGTAACGGGAGCTTAATTGAATACGTATTCAGTGGAGGTGTAAAGAAAGGATAAAGAGATCGATGCTGGAAGCATGGAGGTTTTAAACTAACTATTGCAGAGAGTTTACAAATTGCGCTTAAAATTACCTCTTAATATAGGTACCAATAATGGCCATTTTCTGGGTTGATAGACCAATTGACCTAAACAACAGCCTGTTAATATGTATTTTATTAAATAGCACATAACACTATTTTTATTGGAATACAATGAACATGAACGTCAAGGTTTCATAATGTATTAAATCTAAAAACATTTTTATAAAAATATGCCTACTGTAATATAAAATAATATTATAATAGTGATTTATAATAAATATGCGTAATTACAATTAAATGAATAACTATTATAATATTATTTTATATTACAGTAGGCATATTTTTGTGAAAATGTTTTTTGATTTAATACAACATTTTTTCCGTCGATTTTCGTTGCGAAACATGTAATGGGGTAGGTGGACCGGCTGTGGACGCGTTGCCACGCGCGAAGCGCCCAGCGGGCGCAAAGCTTGAAACATCTAAAGCGCAAAGCGTGAAACCTTTAATGCACCCTTAAAATAATAAAAAATAGTGTTCGATGTTTTACATCTGCCGGGCGTCCTCGACGGCTCACTTTTTTTTCAAACATTATACAATGGACGGCAATAAAATAGTACATACTTATGACCTATCTATGTGCATATAAATATATAATTGTAAGTTGTATAAATAAAAGCAGCTCAATTGGTATATTGACCTTAAAATATGAACAGAGCAATTGGTACACCGACCCTAAAATACAAATTTTGTTTTAGGCCCAACTGGTCCACATCCTCCCCCTCTTATACTGCAGGCCAAGTGTCTCGGGACAGTCGACTGACCGTTCAATGAGTTTCCATCGGAATAGTTACGTACAATGTAAACGGATCGACGTGCACAATAATACTTTATACAATGTATGCCTACCTATGTCATACGCCATTATTATTGGTATAATATATTCGTTTATTATTATAACATTTTTATTCCATTCCATATGGTAGGTGCCTCCATTTTGTAAACAGTTATTGTTGTTCACGTTAACACGGTATACATTATTTAAACGACAGATTTGATTATTTTGAAATACATTTATAAAGCACCTGGATAACGAATATGGGTACTTGTCGACCAAGAAAAGGGGTGAAAAGAGAAGGTACCTATAGATGTTGTTGGATAAAATGCCGTAGACAATTTTTTGTATTATTATATCGAGTCCAACACGTCACTGTTTCCGTCGTCTTACGACAAGAATAAACATAGGCACTACAATAGAATCCATAATACAGACGACCCTACAAACATTAATCATATAACATCTAATATTTTAAATGAACTACCTACTATATATTTAAATAAAATATAATTCTGAATTAATAATAATATGGCATGATGAGCATACTATGGAGTTCTCGTATACAAATCGATTAGCATTCCATCGGTAAAATCGTTCCATATATAGTGACGCCACGGCAACAGATTTCGATGGACATTATTAATTTATGACAATGATATTAGTGTGTTAGATCGAGGTGATATTTTTGAAGCTGCCCTCTACTACGAATATTGTAGAAATCACTAGCATCATATCCATTTCTCTATTGATTTTTGTTTTTTTTTTTTAGTGTTCAAATTTCCGTTCAATATAAAATGTTTCGTCTTGAAATCGGTACCATGTTGATTGTTGTGTGGTTTGTTGGAATTATCCACACATAATATACGCAAGACTAAAGTATTGCCAAATATTTTGTGTTAGATGTATGAATTCTCGGACGAATAAAAATATTTTCCAAATAAGTTAAATACTCGCATAATATTATATCATGCCATAGTAGTACACTAGTACGTCCTATATCGCATTATAATCACTTTTTATTTCAATGGTAACAAAATAGCAGTTTACCCCTACTTACACGAGTTTTTATTTTATTTTGAACTCACCCCGTTATTATAGGTATATTGTTACAGAACAGACTACAACAAATTTATATTATCTTACGATGCTGTTTATTTAGTATGTACAGAAATAGTAAAATGAACACATGATATTATAATAATTGTATTACAAATCTTTAATTATTTCATAATATATAGGTACAGCAAACATTTAAAATCTATATTATATATATTCAAAATAAAATCAGTTTAATATAAGACAACACATATTTAGAATTCTAGACAAAAATATATAGTTTAGATTATACAAATCAACGTACATTATTTGATTATGAATTACTTGATGATTGTCTATAAATTAATTCTGCCTATTATAATTACACATATGTTTAAATAAATACATAAATGTATAATGTGTGTACAGTGTATGTGTATAGATATTTTATAATAGTACATATAACACTTAAGTTATATCATTCATCACGATTCGCTTAATGACGACATAAATATCTATTTAATTACGTTTTCGGCGTGATATCTTCATATAACATTTTATGTATTTATCATAATCGTAATCATTGTATGAGAGTAATAATAATACGGGAAATTGCACGGACTTTTGTATATTTTATGGACTTGAACGTTTTGGCCTTTGAATGATGCATATAATATTGTGTGGGCGATACTATTGATGCACCACAGTACCATACAATGTTAAGAACAAATATTTTTCGAGTGCAGTGAGCAACATTTTTGTTTAATATTCCGTCCGTCCAATATGGAAATATCAGTAGGTGGGTACGCACACGAAGATATGAGTTAGCTGGAAGTTGAAGATGACTCACGAATAAAAAAATTAAAAATAAGTACAAGCGCATATTACATTATATTTAAATACATAAAAATACATCATATCCGTGGCTCGGTGCACATGGGGCTAATGTCATTTTCGAGAAAACGTTTGGAAAAAAATCTCATTTGTAACGATTTCTTAATATTTTAACTACCTTGTGCTGGTGCTTCAGCGTCTATAGAGTGTGTACGGCATTATACTGTCGGATATTGATAAATATTATTTTCGGAAAACGTCACGGTGTTTGTTTTCTGAAAATAACAATTTAGACATTAGCCTTTTGGCGTTGTTGCACCAAACCACAGAAGCCGAGAACAGTAAGAGCAAGCATACATTTGCCGATATTATCCATCCGACAATACATGTGCACCGTGTGTGACATAAGTATAAATATTAAGTTATTAGTCATTATATTTATCACACATTTTCACACGGCGTAAACGTAAGGTAAGTATGGGTACACAGTATTAAATATTGACATTTGACATACTATAATGTTGTACCGGTCAAATAAAAATAATGAAAACTATATTAAAGTTGTGAAGTAATATTAAACAAAACTACATATGGTATATAATGAAATGAATAAAACAATTTTAAAAAAACCAGACGCGATTATGATGGACGGACACGAAATCAAACATTTTGTTATTTATGCTGATGCAGGACATTTTACTCCCACGGTTAATAATTTCAAACTTCTGAGTTAGTCAGATTTCCATCTATATTTGCTCCCACAATCGTTCTGACATATATATATAACAACTATGCATATACATATATAATTGAATTTATTATGTAAAGGTTCATAGTTTCAAAATAGTGTTATATTATAATAAAAAAGTGAGCAGTCGCGGGACGCCTGGCAGATGTGAAACATCAAAATTGTTTCGTATAGAAAGTATGCACGAAAATTGAAAGGATGATTTATTAAAGGAAGTAAACATGACATAGTCAAAAACAAAATATTAATGTAATTTGAATTCTGATTTTTTTACGAACAATTATTCCTTACATTAAAGGAGCATTAGACGTTTCGCGCGTGTGGCCGCATTATACATCCGGTCTTACCCGCCGCATTAGACGTTTCACATTAATAATAACAATCATTACTTTTGTGAGCAATAGGTTATAACGTAACCTCTGCGTGTTGTACATACGAATCTCGGGAAATTTCTTTTGAATCCTAAATTATGTTAGCATTTATTAAGCAGGGAATGTTTTTTATGACGTAATACGCGTCGTATTTATCCTCTTTCGATTATTGTTTCTCTGCATCTATCCTCCAGCACTCTATTTACTCATTTAACCAGACCCGGACGACGGTTATTCTAGACCGCAGTTGAAAAAGTTGATTTCAGCACAGTTTTAATACCATACACATACATATTTACATAAATGCGTTACCTAAAAACTATATCCGGGACCAATGTTTGGTATTAGGCAATATATCAGCTTACGGTCCAATTTTTATACCTATGATATATTTACATATTTATACACATTATCATCCATGTAGGTAATTGGGGTGAAAAAAAATTACACAGTAATATTATACGTGTGACGACTTGATGTGACACGCTTACAACTGGCCAAGGAGGTTCAAGGCCAATAATAATAATATCGTGTTGAGCATATGATATGTTGCACGATATAACATACTCAATACAAATATATAATAATAATCAAGATTTTCAAGAAGAAAAATTCGATACGTATCGATACGGAATAGTTACGTACCACCTCGTATCGAAGTCCGAGTCCGATACGGTTCGGTACGTATCGCTTGCATACTGCACGTGTAACATCTTGAACGCTCAAAATTGACCCGATACGTACCGATACACTCCAAATTCTTTCTTGAAAATCTTGAATACGTTATAATATTATAATATTGTATAGGTAATAATAGTAATACGATGTACATAATAATAATATAATAATATTATATTATATGGACAATAGTAATAACAATCGTATGCATTGTCATCGAGCGGCGATGAATCATCATCGTCTCTGCAGGCGTACGGCGGTGGCGACGACGCGAGGGGTTCGTCGAACGGGTGCAGTCAAGGTGGATTAATCCACATCGAACAGGAATAATGACGATATGTACGCGCGCGACGATCGATGATGATAGTGTATAATAATAATAATAATAATAATAATAATAATGGATGGGCACAGTATATTTGTATACAACACTGCGGCGCGTACGCGCGTGCATAATATGAGTCACCGGGACGAGTCGGCGTGCGGCGAAGGGAATCTGTCCAGTTCCTTTCGTATGGCCTCGATGAGCGGCACGGCGGGGTCTTGGGGGGACAGGTTGGCGTCCGAGCTGATGAACTCGGCGCGCACGGCCGGCCGGTGGAACGGGCCGGCGCTCAACGGCCGCGGCACGAACACCGACTGGTCGGAACCGGCCCACGCCTCGCCCGGCGACAGCGCCCAGCACGGGCTGGCCGCCACCGGTGCCGCGAGTTGGTCGTCGTCCGCGGCCCGGCCGCTCGAGTCCGCCGACGTCTTTGGCCGGCCGGTCGGGCGGCCGCTGGAAGTGGCGGAACACCTGCAGTATAACGTCATAGGTATTATAGTCATTATTCGACCGCATTCATATTATATTAAATTTAAAATATTAAAAAATAAAACATTTATATTAACAACTATTTTTTAAATAATAATTTTAAATACCTACTTATATTTTAAACTCTTATTATTTTTATGACATGATATGCGGCGGCGTGATTCACGCCGATCGTGGTCACCTGCATACCACATGTTTTTTTTTACCTTTAATGGTGGTTTTATTCAAATTCTGATTTTTATAATTCATAAGTAAGTATACCTACTTGAGGACCATCAATTCCAAAACACCTGGATTTTTTTATACCATTTAAAAGCATGTCCATACAAAACTATTTTTTTACGAATAAAACGCCCATAACTAGTGGAAAAATGTTAATTGACACTGTTAGTCATTAAGTCGAATAACTTTTTCGAAAATGTTAATGCGTCTAAATCGAAATTCGGACGAGTATAGATTTAACGTTAACGATAATGGGTTTGTAGGATATATGGGGGCTATAATGATTTGAAAATTATAATCAATTAGATTAATCTATCAACATTTTATCATCTATACGAATTGTCCGAGTATAATAAATACTGCATTAAATTATATTAGATCCATTTTAAATTTCATTTTTTAGGACTATTATCATTAGTGCTTACATTTTATTAACACTCAAAAACTACTCTTTAGAATACTTTGGTTTGCATAGGTGCATGAACAATGTCAAAAGAATCAACTTGAGAAAGTTTATAGTAAAAAAGAAATTTCTCATGTCAACAAAAAAAAGTTAGGTTAGGACACTTAAATGGTATAAAAATCTTGATGGTTGAAAATATGGTTGTTAAGTATATACTTAAAAATTTTGAAAATCATTATTTGGATAAGTTCCTTATTAGAGGAAACTATTGAGGTGAGCATGCTTGGTGAATCATTTATCAATGTTAATAACACTGCATTTAAATTTTATGTTATTCCTATCTATACGTCATACTTATTATTATATTTACCTGTTTTATAAACATCATATTATATTTATATTTTGCATGCATCATATAGTATTATTGTTAGGTATATAATTATAATTTATAACAATTATTATTACACTGGATGACTAATTTTAACAGTAAACACTTGTTATCACGAAAATCATTATTGCTTATGAAAATATTTATTTTTACATATGATATGTAATTTATAAATTTTTTATAATACAACACTTCGAAACAATAACTGTTTTTACTTTTTTATCACATTATTTTTTTTTTAAGTTTTTACTTTTTTAAAACACAACTGTCATTTTTTATTTCATATTTTAAAACAGAATATTTTTCGAGTATTTTGGTGAATTTGTTCAAGTTTTAGTAGTACTATTGACTAATAAGTAATATATGTAAGTAAGTAGTTTTACAAATAAACAAGCCATTAACGAATTTAAAGCTTAACATCCTTCTGTACATTTACTAGTATAAAGGAGAAATAATCTCTGAAATACTATATTCCGGGAAGGGAGGCTTTTGTCTCCATAGCTCACCCCCTTGTATAACCGCCCTGGCGGCCTTGCATGATGTTCGCATAATATAACAAAATACTCACCTAAATGGAGCTGATTTTGATCTCTGCTCATGGTTACTCATGGACGGGGAACTTTCACCACTGTTCATACTTGAGTTTCGACTACCGAACAAAGTGAATGCATCGTCAAGTAATTCGTGAAATTTTTGTCGCATTTTTGTGACGTTGGTGTCCATGGCGTTGAAAGCGTCAAAGCTCGAACACGAATCGTCATCCTGATCGTCTGCAAATGTTTAAAATGTCATTGTATATTTTTAATTTATTTTTTTATAATATGACTGCGTCCCATGCTTATAATTTGTGTACGTATGCACTATGCATGATACACTTTGTTTTTTATTAAAACTCACTACTTTTTATTTTCATTTGTTTACAATGTAAATCCCAAACTATAGGTCCAACCACCCCAGGATCTTGGCCACCAATACTCTCGTGTCTTGTCACTGTACGTGAATTTTTATTTTCACTTCCATTAAGTCCATCCAGTACATCTGTCAACGGTCCCGGTATCGAATCTCTAAAAAAATATAGCACATACAAAATGACAAATATATTAACACTCTGCAGATTTAATTTATTTATTAGTACAACATTATTTATATGGATATACCTAGTCTCAGACTAATAGTCTGGATCTTTTTTTATGATTATTTTGTATTTAGGTATATACCATGTACATATATTTTATATGTATAGCTATATTTATTAAAACAATATATATGTATAGCTATATTTTATTAAAACAATATATATGTATATTATATATCAATGGTTTTTATTGGTGCTATCAACAACCCTATAAATGATACCCGCAGCTGTTGCAAATGAATTAATTTCTATATGACTGTATTAAATTATTTAATTAAATTGAATAATAAATAGTTACTGAGCAACTGCCTGGCACAAAATTATAACGACATACGTGTAACTTAAGTCGTATCATGCAATTATGCCATATAATGTATATTATGTACCCATATAAAAAGTAAATTAAAATATCAAACAAATAACTATTTAATTGAGTTTTGTTTGGTGAATTTTTCTTGTTGCGAGTGTTTTACATATTATACAATACACTATACACAGCTATAGTCTATGAATCCGTGATTACCTATTGATCATATATTTTAACTTGTAATTACTTTATTTTGAACTTCAATGGGTCGTATAGAAATTAGAGTATTGCACGGTTTTGACTTTATTTAAATCTTGACATAATTCAATAATTCATAATATTATATTATAATCTATAGGTACCTAAGTGGCTAAGTATATTATTTACGGTATATGCAAAAATATAGCTCAAATGCTTATTTGTGGTGCAGATCGTATTCTGATGATAAATAAAACTAAAAAAAAAGTATTAAATTGTTACTACTTTTAAGATATCAAAAAAGTTGAAATGTTATAAAAACAATTTTTTCTGATATTTAAATTCTATTGTAGAATACTATCTATTTTATAGAATATATTAAATAGAAATTACAAGCTTATTGCAACTGCAACTCTGGTTACATATCCAATTTGTAATTTGGATGTTTGAAACTTTGAATCTTTATTAGCCAAGGGTAATCAAATCTCGAACAGAATCTTATGATAAGAAACATTTTTAATAACATATAATAATAGCTATTAATGTATTATATGAACACAAAATGATCACATACAAAATTTAATCTGACATTGTTGTACGTTAATATATTATTTCGCACACTCCAGATTTTATTACATTTGGTATCTCATCATATTTACAATAATTGAGGACCCTTTTCCCCACCTTCGGCTCTTACATACCTATATTTCACTTTATCGTGTGGCTCATGATTCTCTCTTACCGCTGGCCATCCCTGCTATATTCCGTGGTGGACGCTTACATTGGTTGTGTGGCTTAATAATTAATTGAAAATGTACTAGCATAAGCTCTTATATTTAAGAGCGCGGCTAAATAGGTACTTGAAATTTTAATGATTTGTACAGTTTTACAACGTTTTTATGATACGTCCGTGAGTAGAACCCGTCTGTAATGACAGAGGTGATGGTCCAGTATAATAATTATTAATATGTGAATATGTGATCTCTATAAAACGATTATCATACCCGTATATTGTGTAGTATAATTTATGATGTTCAATAAACTATAATTTATGAAATTAATTCTACCAGATGGACTTACGAAGGATTCGTAGTTGGACAGATAATACGACTATCATATTAGCAGAATCATATCTACAAATGACTATCTATACATTTGTATAATATGTTTACGATACATAGCTTACAATTAACCAAATTTTAGAACTGGGGTGATAAAAACCAAAATAGTATAAGTGTAACATAAGAAATGTAGCATCATTTTCACTAGACATAATACTACATACATAATGGTGGCATTCCATTTACCCAAACAAAGAAGCAATATATTCTAAATTCTTACACATAATGTTATAATGTTATAAATATCTTAAGTGGAGTTGAAAGAAATACGAGTATTTAATGTATTTTTTATCCTATTCACTTTAATGACAAATTCCAAAATTAAATTAATGAAAATAACTAAAATACCAGCTAAATTACATTATTGTTCGATAAAATGCTACAATAAATTCTTTCGTGTACAAAATATGTACTTGTATATTAGTAATATGATAGTAATCATATTTTAATAGCAACTTAAAAATATTAATATTATAACGTACTAATTTTGAATTCACTTGTTGTAACTTATAAATATTCGTAACTAAAGTTGAAGTCTAACACTGACTGAATTATAATGTCAAACATTTTATAGTTAGATACTAATTTTAAGATTTAAAAAAAATAGTAAATACTAATTTTTACAGAGATGCTAATAAAATATTATAAATTATAATTTTGAATTGATATTGTGTGTAAATTTTTAAAATACTGAGAATAGATATCCAGATATTCAGATAATATAGGTTATAATCGGATTATTAGGTTTACATAAAAAACCGGGATTCGGATATTGATCGTACAAGGTACAACATGTACCCATGTAATAATAGTTAGGTACACTAGTAATTTTATCTCTAAAGCCATATTATATACGGCATTAAATCTTTTATAAAATAACTCACAACAATATTATGTTTTTTTAAACCCAAATAATATGTGATGTGTATATTTATATATATTAACATTTAACATACCCACACATTCTTAAATAAATTAAATAAATAATTTATTATTTAAGTTAGACTTAAATGAAACAATTGTTTATAATACATGCTAGTTTAGCCTGGGGGACCATATTTAAAAAAAAAAGTTGTTTGATTATGATTGAGCGAGTTCACATTTTAACACAATAAAATAATTATTCTAATTATCCGTGACATTAAACACAGCCTTAGTTCATACCAGCATAATTTTATTAGTATAGGTGCATTTATGTATTTTGTGAATCAATTGAATATAAGAAGTAAGAATTATAGTAGTTATCTACTACCCACCTGCTCTATATGAAGATTATTTTATAATTATTGATTTAAATTGTAGCTGTTTTCTTGTTAAGTAAATGCGTATCAACAAGTAAATAAGTACAATATAAACATAAAATGTAAGTTTTATATTTTTAAATAAAGCTATTAAAATAATTTAATTTGATTACGCTTGAACAAACGTAGTTCTGAATGATTTTGTTTTTATAGAGGAGGTACCCACCTAGGTATATGTAGTTAAAACTTTTATTCGTTCCTAATTATTCTATAAAAGAACATGATCGTGCGATAATGTTGCGTGAAGTTATTAATTTGTATGTGATCGTATTTGTTGTAATAGTATTGTACTTTTCTTTTTATGCGCTATAATTCTATGGGCAATGATTATTCATAATAATAATAAAAAAAAACCACTCATGAAATAAAACAATAAATTATCATCTGTTGTTATTAAATGATTACACTGTGTAATCCGTCCATATTATAACGGTGGATCATATATTAGTATAATATTATACTCCTGAGATGATTCACCCCGGGATACCAGGATTGTATCTATCAAGCAACCTACCTAACCGTTTAGTTTTTTTTGTTTATCATGTTATTTTCATCTCAATGGCTACTTATTTCTCACTGAAATGAAACGCCCCAGGAAATTTTTTACGTCGAGATAAAATCGCTCAGCCCGTTTTTAAGGTGTTCGTTAAGTTTTAAATTATTGGATTTTCCTAATGAATAAACATTTTCAGTAAATATGATAATATATACAAATTATACACATATTATACTTGATTTTTTATTTCGTTTTGTTTTGTTTTTTCATACATAATTTGTATCCACAAGAATAAATGTCAATTCCTCTTTTCTTTGGTTTATTTTTGTTTATGTATATTATTATTTTTTTTTTTTAGCGTAGAAACATTGTTTTATTCCATACTAAATTGACTTACTAACTTTTGAAATTTATTAACTGCCTGCATCGAAAGCAATGAATTTGAAATTTTATTTCTATTTCTCGGCTTAGGTTCGGGTGTGTGGAGAGCCCCGATGTCTTCAGTAGACGTCGCCTCTGTTTTTACCTGAAAAATAGTGAATATTTCTTAACGGTGCTTAAAGTCTTTAGCGATAAATCCCAAAAGAAATAAATACATCGTTGTGAGGCGTTTGATCTTCGCAAAACGCCATGTTAGTCCTGTCGGAGCTAATGCTATTTTTTCTTCTTTTTTTCTTATGCGCTACGAAAACGCCAGTTACGAGTACTAGTACAATTATACATGTGGCGGTGATGAAAATCCAAATCTCTCCATAATTTACACCACGAACTCTTTGAAACTGTGATCCGTCTAGGTAAGCTATACGAGAAAACCGAGTTTTTACAACCAATAAAATATAATATCACGCATTATATTAATATGATAATATATAGGTACACGAATGTTTTACTCACGGCGGGCTTTGATTTTTACAGCGTATCCCAAATGATCTGCAACTTCCCGTGTCGTGACAAGGCTCATGTCACGTACTGCTGTTGCAGCAGACACAGGATGGTCGTTTACGCTGACGAAATAAACCAAATCCAATTTGTTCAGTACGGATAGAACGTCCACTTTGACTTTAATCGGTTTTTCGTTTGTGTCCCATCTACGATTCCGATCCGAGTTTACCTCATCCTCGGTCCAATTCGAGTTTAGTCCGAGATGCCGAGCTTGTTGTCTGATGGATACACAACATATTATAGTGATTAGTAAACAGTATTTATACAGTAAGCACCTGCATTACGTATAAATCGAACTTAATCGCCTGTGATTCTATGGACAACTAACTCGGATGTACGCATTTCAAGTGTACGATATTATTTTATTGATCAAACGTTCGCTTCGTAACAATGCATTATCGAAACTTCATTTCATATCTGGTGTCAATCGGCTATCAGCCACTATGACTTAAAATTAAATCATTTTTTTTTAAAATATTTATTACGTCATAATATAGTAACTGTTATGTTTATGTAACTATTACTTGTAAGTTGTATGATTTGATGTACAATTTTTATAGATCACAAAATATTTTAAAACTATTTATAGATAATAATTATTGTATTTAGCTATTTTTATGTACATAGTTACGATCATTGTGGAATTATATTATGCTGTAACGCCATTGAATAAACAAATTAAGATTTATGTCAAAAATATCAAATATGTAACGAATAAAAAAATAATATTGTCTCTACAAATATGAGTCTAGACTCTAGATTAAAAATATGTTATATGAATATACATATTTTATTAATGGCGTATATAAATCAGAGTAAAAAACATAGTTAAAAAAGTATTTCAATCGCATTTAACCTCGGCAAAAAAAAAAATAATTGCATTGCTCTTTATAAATAACGGTTTGTTGAATCAAAGTTAATAACTAGTATTTGAATACCAAATCCATTATCATATTAGCTTATAATTATTTTGACTATTTTGAGTTTTACGAGCATTTATTTATTGTCATCTACTACCGTTCCTACACTACGCTTAGACTCATAGTATTCCTATTGACAGCATACACGCTCGCGAGTATAATAAACGGATGCTGTACGTGCAACTTTCATATTATATTTTAGTATGTTCCATGTTTAAAGAGCAGGTATAACAGATAATTTAAATATTTGACGTTTAATACCTGGTAAAAGCAATCGTGTAGAGGATGGCCAATTTTTCTTTTATGACGGGTATGGAAATATGAACATCCGCTGGCGAGTCGAAATTTAATTCTGTTACTATCCAATATTCTTTGTTTGGTATTTCGGCAGTTTGTGGAATGTCAATAACCCCGAGATGTGGCGTAATAGACGTCGTAGGTTGAATGTTACAATCTTGCCCGCCTATACAATCCTCGGGATTTTCCTAAAATAATATTATGTTTCATTCATTTATGTTTTTATTTTATTACAATAATCACCATAAACATAAATCAATTAATTTACTGAATAAGATGGAATTTTTTTAGTGGTGGATGTTTGTGTTGGTTCATTCGAGCCATCTCCGGAACCGGACCATAAAAATATTTTCAAATTTGTATAGTTGTGCATGGAGTCTATTAGATTATCTGAAAAATAATTAGTGAGTACCTAGTGTAATATTACTACGAAAATGAATTATGCTTTATTTTTTAACAACATCAAAGTATAGTAGGTATAAAAAAAAATAAATAATAATATAAACAACCGTTGTAATTGTTATTTTACTTGCAAATCACTTTTGTTTATTTGAAATAAAATATAAAATAATTGTAATCATCTACAACTCAATAGTATTATACAATAATTACACATTATTTATACTATACCAATTTGTCGTTTTACTTTAAGTGATTTTAAGCCCTTGACAAATAGCACGTATATCCATTAATTTAATTTTGTGAATTTATATATTTATTTTGTTTCGACCATCATTGATAGATTGGCGACACAAAATGTACTACCTACTAAAATATTACTCATAATATTAATTTATTATTTACTCACCTTCTTCTTGTTCGACACTCTGTAAATTGCAGCTAGATAACATTATTGTGTACACCAAACATAGCCACCTTATATCCATGTATACATTCCAAGACAATTGTTTGCATTTGGACAGGCAGTTCCATCAACCTCCATTGTATTGTCCAGGATTGAGTTTTTTGCTAGAAACGTTCGGTTTGATTGACATTTCATCCATTTATACATGGTAAAAAATGAAACATGTATACCAGCATACGCGCGTGCGCGCATGTGTGTGCAATGCGTGAAGTAGAGTATCCATGGGCAACACACCCAAATAATAATAATTAATGTGCATATAGGAAATAGACTTCCGCACGACTGTAGTGTATAGTTTATTCGCTAGACATTATGTTCTGTACGTATAATACAATAAATGAAAACAGTGTAGATCAGCGTTCATTAAAACTTGTGCCTACGTGGTTATATTATACGTCATAATATATACTAGATACCTACAGGGTGATTCATCAGGCATGCTCACCCTTATTTTTTCTTTAATAACAAATATATATTCAAATTCTGATTTTGACCAATTTTAAATATGTACTTAAAGGACACATTCATTTCATACACTTATATTTTTTTCATACAATTTTAGGAGTGTCCTGTGGTGACACAACTCCTTTTTTTTAAATGAGAATCACCCTTATTTCCTGGTATTTCCTAATATATTGTCAAGCAAACTAAATTTTGACAAGTTTGATGCGTCTGAATCAAAATTTGAACAAGTAGTTATACTTGAGTACTAATAATAATATGTTCAAGAATAAATTTTCGGCTTATTGAACTATAAAGACAATATTTGTGAAAGACCATCCAAAGTTATACCCATTGAGCTAGCTTGCTGACATTTTGACGACAACTACTGATTTAAATTTAATTAGAAAAAATATTCACTATACTAGGTCTTCGTTATTTCCAATTATTATTATGTTTTGTTATTTTATTATTTTATTGGAACAGCTATAGACTATGCTACGCCTCTAGGGGGGATTCAATTATTGTTATAGTCAATTTTTTCCCTGAGACTCAATTCGGATGCAGATGTTGTTCCCTCACCAGCTATTATATGGTATACATTTAATCTCGACCCCATTTAGCATCGGCCGCTGTTCAGTGGGTCATTTGATAAAATTCAAATTCGCGTACAGATTCGCAGTTTAATACCTCTGATAACAAATTTATTCAAATTCTGTTTTTTAGAATTTCTATGTAAGTTCGAGGACCATATTATTTTCAAAAACTTTGATTTGTTTACACCATCTATTTAGTATAGTAACCCATCGCGTTACCAATTTATTTTTTTCAAAATACGCCCATTTATCTTATCCAGTTGAGTTTTTATTTTTTGAAAATGTTGCGATACATATAAATCGAAATTTGAAGCAATAGTTTTCGATACCTACACATAATAATATAATACATAAATAAAATATTAGAATAACAATTATTCATCAAGAGCAAATTTATGTACCTACGTATAGTAATAATAATAATATATATATATATATTATACAGCAAAGACGGCTGTGGGAGTAATATATTACGCACATGATTAATGATTAATGACACTGAATGATTGGTTCGGACAGTTCGGTTTTGGCTTAAAGCGACTTTATGTGCGCAGTCAATAATAGTTGTCTGCGATCTCTGTGATTGAACAGACTATAATATTATCATCATATGCGCGAGTTTTTAATGCATTTTTATTAAATATATTATATTTTTATATTACACAATAGCGTAATTCGCATAAAAGTAAAAAAAAAATGTATATACTTAATAATATAGGGTATAGTGACACAGTATGTATGATGATCTATTACAATCATTTTGGATTAATATAAAACTTTATCGCAGTGCACGTAATGCAAAGTGGTGACATACTACCTCCTGAATCTTCGGCGACCTCAGCATTGAGTTCAGATAGTACCTATGGAAGAAAGTGAAGAACATCTATTAAACGGAAAATTATGGGGAAAACGTGACCGTAGGTATTCGGTTTGTGTTGGCGAAATGACAAATCTGTGGAACGCGGATTTTTTTTTAATCATTAAAAAACGTGACAGCGAAGTACTAGCGGTACTCATCATTATATTTTATCAAAGCAAAGGGTGAGACAGGTTCCACAATTCATAGTGCCGAATGGAAAGCATACGACTGCTTAAGGTTAAGTCTATAGTAATTGCTATGGATATTATAATTTTTACTAGCAAAATAATATCAAGCCTAATTTATATTTTCTATTCCTACAATTTCACAAAAAATTATCAAAATAAGTATAGGTAATAATTTTAATAACTTGATATTAAATTCTCATAGAAATTATATGATTGGAAAAATTCATATTATTTAAATTATTATATAATAGTACATGGACAATATACATACGTTTATTTAGGACTTATACCTGTAAAAATTTAAAATTGTTCAATACTTAAATGTATTTTCTATGAACTAAAACATTATATTTTATTATATTGGTATAATAATAATTTAAATAAATAATAACTATGATTAAATTGTTATAAAAACGTGTTATTATACCGCAGCCTGCAGGTCAAAGTTTAAAAGAAATAATTGCGTTCATAATATAATGATTAATGAACAATCATTTCATATAACACCACACAATATTACCTATCGGTTTTGGTAGGTACACAATTATCGATATCGATGATTTGTATTATAATATACCATCGAGTTTAATACCTGCTGGATTTATCTTTCTTTTTTGTGTGGACGCAAGTTTTATGCTGCCCGGCTAACATTCAATATCGTTAGATAAAATAATGTATATATAGGTAGCTATTAGTTATACATGATAGAATATGTTTTAAACACGCTGTACCGTAGGTACACATTATCAGACTATCAAACTATTAAGCGCTGTTGTACCTACCTATACTAATAGTTGATAAACTGTGTATGTTTAAAAGGTCATATACTCATATACATTAGTTAACTCGTACGTTATTCGGATAACTGATATAATATGTGTCTGATTAGGTCGTATAAGAGATTTTAATGTTTAACGTTTTGCTGTTTAGTACAATATACATTATAGGTACTAGATTTATTCGTTATATTCTTAAATTATTATTTTATTTGTCTGTTATATTTATCATATAAAACTCTACTCTAGAACGTTACAATATATTATATTATCATACTAGATTAATGATGATGCAATTGTTGTACTGAATAAAACTAAATAATCATCCACACGATTATACCAATACCTTTCATTTAAATTGTATTTTATTATGTTACAATTATTGAATCCAATAGCGTAGTAAGCTTAAACATTTTTGAAAACTAATCCGCCCTTTTATCACTTTTATCGACCATCCCAATCTCCTTCAAAATGGGATAACATGTTAACAGAAATGTAAAAAAAACCACTACTTAAATGAACTATCTAAAATCTATATCGATTTTCATAAATCTCTCTCGTTATGAAATAAATTACCTCAAATGATTCATAGCAGGTCTAGACTCTATAGACGATATGTACTTAATTCAGAAACTGAAAAATGACAAGTTATATTGTACAGTAAAAGTTATTTCTAATAACATATCAAGCTTATATTTCTCTTATTTTGACGAATGAAATTTCAAAAGTAGATGTGTTTACGATAATATTCAGTTAATACAATGTAATGACTAATAACTATAATATTAAAATACTAAATACACATTTAAATTTAAACAGTTTTTTTTTCATTGTTGTTATACATTTTCATTGAACTTCTATAACTTATAATGAGAAGTCAGTAAAAAATTATAAAAATATTTATTGCTTAAGAAATGCTAATACAAGATAATAAATAGTTATTAAATACCACCTATATACGTAGAATGAATAGACGGTCTTTTTTAGATTAAAACCATTTGGCATTCCTATTACAATTATTGCAATAAAGTAATACTCATAAAGTCACGCGATGTCAAAACCGTGCCTGCTATTTTCAATAAATGTTTTCTATGATACTGGTATATATTTTCGAAAATATAAAGCAATAAAATCGAAATCAATATTTCTTAAGTACTTTATCCTGTCAAACGTTTGTTGACGGTGGCTTATTTTTTATTAGCCAGAGACAAATAATAAACAAATTTGAAAATATATTATTCAAAAGTAATATTTGTATTAGAAGTCGTTTTATTGAAAACGATATTATTTGCTACACGAATAACTAATACATAAACAGTTTATATAGTTTTGGTTCAATCGACACCAAGGTAAAATAGTTCTTGATTATGCTTAAAATGAACCTATATGTATAGATACCTCATAACTTAATAAATATTTCAGGGAGACCGAAGTCCCGAAAATTTTAAATGAATAATACAAAACATAATAGATTGATCACTATATTAGGTATCTGTATATGGCTATATATCCCATATATTATCTATGCTTTGGGCGTTTATGATTTAAATAAAATAAAATAAAAACTACATTGTCTGACGAAAAAACAAAATTCCAGAAGGCTTTATAGTGATTTTTGGAGCGATAAAGTAGCCCTATCTTATTGATCCACATGCGTATGTACTTCTATAACCACCTCAGTTACTTCTAATGTTCTATATTATAATTATAATGTATATATACATAGTTATACTATAAGGTACTAACATTGTAAGTAAAATCCAGGTTTGCTCTTAAATTAAGGTCTAAAAACTAGATTCTATTATAAAATAACGTATTTTACTGTCGAAATCTGTTTCTACATTTTATATGTTCTGTAATTTGAATTTTTGTTTTTTTTTTTTATTTGATATTACGTAAAAAAACAAGATGATTTAATTTCTAGATTTAACAAACTTCAAATTAGCAAGTACCTACATTTTTTTAGATGTTATTAGTAGTATTGTATATTTGTATTCATCTTAAATTAACAGCCGCCGTAAATTTTACAATTATTTGGAAATATTCTGTACATAAATGGATAAGGTTTTGACATTAATTTATTTTCAATCAAATACTGGCAAACTTATTCTGCTGTATAGTAGGTTTTAAGTGTATAGTTTCGATCTTTATTTGGCATTGAGTGAAGAGAATAATTATTTGAATTCAATGATAAATAATTTTTTGTTCACTCAAAATTGAATATGTATTGTCCATTATACCATAATTTGTGTGGTCATACATTTTTTAATTTAATAATAGGGGATAGGTTAGTGAAGAACAATATGTGTGTTAACCATGCAGTGATGAAATGGATTTAGCTCAAAAGAAACGTATAAATTCAATAATATATTATTATAGAATACAACATTTTTG